CGACCATCCCGCGGTGTGAGTGCTCCATGCCGGATGTGATGTTCTCACAGCGCTCGGTTCGCAAAGCACTGCTCTCCCTGGACATCCAGAAGTCGAGTGGGCCTGACGGAATCCCCCCAATTGTGCTGAGGACGTGTGCTCCGGAGTTGGGACCGGTCCTAACGCGTCTTTTCCGGTACTCCTACTCCCATGGCGTAGTCCCGAATTCATGGAAGACAGCTTTTGTCCACCCGATCCCTAAAAAAGGCGACCGCTCAGACCCATCCAACTATAGGCCTATCGCGATCACCTCCTTGTTCTCCAAAATAATGGAATCCATTATTAACTACCAGCTCATCCGGTACCTTGAGGATCACCAGCTGATTAGTGACCGCCAATACGGTTTTCGTCGGGGTCGATCAGCTGGTGATCTTCTGGTCTACCTGACCCATAGATAGGCGGAGGCAGTAGAGTCCAAGGGGGAGGCGTTGGCCGTTAGTCTGGACATTGCGAAGGCCTTCGATCCGATTTGGCACAAAGCGCTTCTTTCGAAGCTCCCTTCCTATGGGCTTCCCGAGAAATTGTGCAATTGGATCACCAGCTTCCTTGCAGATCGGAGCATCAAGGTCGTTGTAGACGGTGCATGCTCTGACTACAAGCCTATTAACGCTGGTGTTCCACAAGGCTGTGTGCTATCACCAACGCTGTTTCTTCTGCATATCAATGATATGTTGCTAACTGGTAACATTCATTGCTATGCGGATGACAGCACTGGTGATGCTCTATACACCGGCCGTGCCAATATTTCTCGGGAAAACGTCGCTGAGTACCGGAACAAACTTGTGTCTGAAGTCGAGTCTTTGCTGAACAAAGTCTCGGATTGGGGGCGACTAAATCTAGTCCAATTTAATCCTCAGAAGACACAAGTTTGCGCGTTTACCGCTAAAAAGAACCCCTTTGTCGTATCTCCTCAGTTTCAAGGCACTCCCCTTCTTGCCTCAGCCAGTATCGGTATCCTCGGAGTCGACATATCGAGTGACGTGCAGTTTCGTGGTCACTTGGAAGGGAAGGCCAAATTGGCCTCTAAAAAGCTTGGCGTGCTCAGCAGAGCGGGACAGTATTTCATGCCGGCACACCGCCTGCTACTTTACAAGGCGCAAGTTCGGCCTCACATGGAATACTGTTCCCATCTCTGGGCAGGGGCTCCCCAGTGCCAGCTACTTCCACTTGACCGCATCCAACGCAGAGCGGCTCGAATTGTCGACGACCGAGCCCTTTCCGATCGGCTCGATTCATTGGCACTGCGAAGAGATGTTGCATGCCTTTGCATTTTCTTTCGCATCTACCATGGGGAGTGCTCTGAGGAATTGTTCGGATTAATCCCAGCCGCCAAATTTCACGAACGCACATCGCGGCAGAACTCCCGATACCATCCACACCATCTGGATGATTGGCGGTCCACCACTGTGCGATTTAGAAGATGTTTTCTTCCTCGCATGACCTCCTTGTGGAATCGATTACCATCAGCGATTTTTCCGGACCGATACGACTTAGGGACCTTCAAGAAAAGAGCGTACTCCTTTTTAAAAGGCCGGCAACGCATCTGCGATTCCCCTGGTGTTGCAGTTGTTCATGGGCGGCGGTAGTCACTTACCATCAGGTGAGCCGCATGCTCGTTTGCCCCCTCTCCTATAAAAAAAAAATATACAAGGTTCTTTTCAGAGAGTATTCGAATTTTATATATAAGTCCAAATATATAAATAACGATATATCGATACTGTAGTTTTAGAAAATACGACTAAATAAGGCTTCCTTTTTTTATTTGAAATTATCTTGATTCGTGATTTATGAGCAACAAATACGCGTACGCGCCATCCTCTGTGTGCGATTCAATTCACAACGTTTTTGTCGACCAAGCGACCATTATGAATGTGGGCATGCGTAGTGAAAAAATAGGCGTTAGATATTTATGAATGACAGTCAATTAAAATAATGCATTATCACGCATTCTGAATTTAAAAAATAAGAAGGAGAGAACGTTGGAGAATGTTTTTAATTAATTTTTTATTTTTTTTCTTTACCATTTGCCTATATTATCTATTCTGGACCTTCTTTCCAAATTTGGGTGTATATTGCGCGAAAGACTTAAAAATGAGGATATATGCAGTAGAACCAGAGTAAACGAGATAGCCCAACGGAATAGTAAGCTGAAGTGACAATAGGCCGGCCAGGAAACTATAACATTACGGTGTCAAAAATATTGCGCTTACACTTATTATTTCATATTTAAGTAACAGAACTCAAAAAGTCGTTATAGACGGTATACTATACTATTCCTGTTCTTAATCTATATGTTTTAGGGGACAATAACAATATAGTTTTATTTGCTGACAATACCTCTTTAATTTTTAAACTCAAACGATGTTTATAATGCTCTATCAAAATTAGTACATTGGTTTAATACCAACAATTTGCTCTTAAACGGCAATAAGATAAAATGTGTTAAATTTACAATATATAATGTTGAACATTGTAATACCAATTACGATTCTTAAATGGGAAGGAGTTGAGTCTTGTGGATACCACTGTTTTTCAAGGTATTACTATTGACGAGAAGATTCAGTGGATCCCATTTATCTAAATTAGCAAGCAGACTAAGTTCTGCAGCATATGATGTAAAAAGCTTTGAAATCTCACCAGTGTTGAGACAGCTAGATTAGTTTATTTTAGTTACTTTCATAGCGTAATGTCTTATGGAAATTTTCTATTAGGTAACGTTGGCTGGACATAGAATTCATATTTGTTTTGCAAAAGAAGCCGTACGTGCGATTTATAACTTAAATTGTAAAGAGTGCCTCACAGAAAAATTTAAAGAATAAACTAACTTTGGTATCGCAATATGAAAATGTCATGTATGTACATAAAAACATGAATAGCTTTGCTAAGAATAAAGATGTTCATACTTTAAGCACTAGGAACAAACATAAGCTTGTAATACCAGTTACTAGACTACACAGAATTATAAATCAGCACCTAAATTGCAAAACAATGTATATACTTTATAACAAGTAAAAGTTTAAAAGTTTTATTACAGAAAAAATTTACAAATAGGGTCTTATTAACAAAGAATACATGAATGAAAATAACCCTAGGGAATGAGGTTATCGCCGCCATGCTGGTTCTATTAAAATTAATTTAAAAATTGTACAAAATGATTGTATAGTGTAGTAATCCCGCTGGATTTCTTGTTGGTTCTTTCCAGGACAGAGGTATTTTCCAAGTCAGTGGTAAATAAAAAAAATACTTTTAATAAGTATTATGTAATAATGTATATTGAATAAAATATTCATTTTATTCTCTTCTGTTCTATAAAGTTTCTTTGAGTTTCTAAGTTTCTGAGAGGGTTTTTAGGGCAAGCAAATGTCCGCCGTGCTGCCCCAATGCGTGTTGGTGAACATCACATGTCTTCGAAATATTTTTTCTTCTTTCTCTGATATGCAGGTTTTATTACGTTGTTTTCCTTCACCGCCGAGCACGGTGTAAATAAGCACTTAAATTGCAATCAACAATTTCATTGACGCCTGCGGGGTTAAGAACCCGGGTTGCTCGTATACTGTGAAATTTTAGGGGTGAACTACGTGCTGAACTACCACGGCTCTATTATTTACTATATGCTGATGATTTCAGATTGCGTATGGGATTTTTTGATCTGCGAAACACGTACACATAGAAACTAATTATATATACGTAGCTATTTCAAATCTTATAAAAACCGTTGGCGTCCACAAAATCGTCAAAGATCTCTTTTAGGGAATGACACCCTTCAAATCTATCATTTCGCTTCAGCTACGTTAAGACGGTGTTTTCTGTATATAGCAAGCGTATGAACGTCTCCCTCAATAAAAGCGATCACATTTTGAACGGTTTGGATCTCATTTTACGCTACGACAGCTCAGCAGGCGGTTCTTTACATTTGAGCGTTTCGACGTAGCAATGAGAAAACCGATTACAAACGATGGCCGCCCGTGCGGCGCATAAGCTATTGGACTTGCATGTATTATTTCTTTTTGAAATTCAACCTTTTTATGAGTTAAAACTTTTGTTTATAATAAGAACAAATTATATGTGTTGAAATTAGTACAGTTTTTGGCAAGTTTAGTCTTTGCAGTAACTAAAGTTAAAAACCATCAACACAATCTTATACATATTTAAAAACACAGGGAATTTCTCTACACTTAGGAAATCACCTAAGTGATTTCCTTAGTGTCCATTTTGGCACGGAACACTAATGATGTTGTTAAACCGAATTACACTCAAGCGTAGTCGCGTGAAAAAGCTAGTCTTTGTTATTTCCACGGTATACTATAAAAATGTACATTTTAGTCATTTATGAACTCTTAAAAATATACTATAAAACATCCTCAAATACTTATTTCTGACGCCAAATAGCAGTGCGTGCTCAGCTGCGACCTGATTTGAAGTGTATACCAGTATAACTACAGGCTGTGAGGAAATCCATCTTCTTCCTCAAAGGTGACAAAGCGTCTGTAGCCTTTTATGTTGTTTGAAGTTGGTTGCACTTGTCTGTCACTTCAGATTATGTATTTTTCACTTTATGTATATGTATTGTATTTTTGTATTCAGTTTATGTATATGTATTGTATTTATTTTCCATAAAAATGCCATTATATTATGATGTATAAATTAAAAACGTCAATCACATTTTAAAACGAATGTTATATCTTTCATCATCATCATTATTACAGCCCTTCACAAGTCTACTGCTGAACATAGACCTCCAACAACGTATGCCACAAAGCACGGTTCTGAGCCATCTGCATCCATCGACTTCCTGCATGTCTTACCAGGTCGTCACTACATCTAGTGGGGGGCCGGCCTACACTTTGCCTACCCGTACGAGGCTGTCACTCGAGAACCTAATATGTATACCCTTAGGCAATAATAAATCATTTAAATGTAGAAGAAATTTAAAATAAGATGTATATGGTTTATCTGAACAGATTAAAATTGTTGGGTGCCAGCGGAGAGGCGCCACTGCTGGGCGGATGGCGCAGTACGCCGCACACGCCGCACGCACCCGCCACTCCCGCGCCGCACCACTCGCACAATCACCTCGCCACGCCGCATTGCAACGGCACCGATAGGTATTACCTCTATATTTAATCAATATTTGATTAATTTCTTTCTTTTTTTAAAACGCTACCCTCACACTCGATTTTTTCCTGTGTCGTGGAGGCAGTTTACAAATACAATTTGCACAAGGACTATAATCCAGACCCTATACCAATACTTGTTCCGTGCGGGATTAGAACCCGCGGCCTTCAGCGCCGCAACTTAATGCTAAGCCACTGCGTCACGGAGCCATCAAATCTATACAAATAAATAAAATTGAAGTGTCTGTTTGTAATGTCAAAATAAGAGCTTTCTACTAAAAACATATGAAAGTTTATACGGTACTTATAACCAAAAGACAATTTTAAAATTTTCGTCTGTCTGTTTGTTACGTCTAATCTCCGAAACGACTGGACCGATTTTGACGGGACTTTCACTGGCAGATAACTAATATTATAAGGAGTAACTTAGGCTGGCTTAATTTTAGAAAATTATTTAGGGTTCCGCGCAAAAAAATTAAAACCCATAAAATCCAATCGTAAAAAATTCCAAGCGGGTGAAGTCGCGGGGACCAGCTAGTCTAAAATAAATTATCATTTTAAATTATGACTGATAATATAAAATGATAATTTATTTTAGATTTTGTTAATTTTTTTATAGGATAGGGTGACAAACGAGCACACAGTCCACCTGATGGTCCAAGCGGATTGCTAGCCACAGTCTTTATGATTTTGAGTTATTATTATGAAGATGCTGCTGCCAACCTCTTATTTCAGTTTTCCTCTGTCGCCTCTTACGTCACCCACGATATGATATGGGGTAATGGTTATTCTTAGACCGCTACTCATCATCATCATCATTACAGCCCTTCACAAGTCCACTGCTGAACATAGGCCTCCCCCAAAGAATGCCACAAAGCACGGTCCTGAGCCACCTGCATCCATCGACTTCCTGCATATCTCACCAGGTCGTCACTCCATCTAGTGGGGGGACGCCCTACACTTCGCCTACCGGTACGAGGCTGCCACTCGAGAACCTTTCTTCCCCATCGGTTGTCGGTTCTTCGAGCTATATGGCCGGCCCATTGCCACTTCAGCTTACTAATCCGTTGGGCTATGTCGGTCACTCTGGTTCTACTGCGGATATCCTCATTTCTGAGTTTATCACGCAGAGAAACTCCGAGCATAGCCCTCTCCATAGCTCGCTGAGCGACCTTGAGCTTCCTCATCCGGCCAGCAGTGAAGGACCACGTCTCAGTTCCGTATGTCATCACTGGCAACACGCACTGGGTGTACAGTCTCGTTTTCAAGTTTTGAGGTATACCTGACGAGAAGATGTGCCGTAATTTCCCGAACGCTGCCCAACCGAGTTGAATCCGTCGATTGACCTCTCGGTCGAAGTCGGATTTACCTAGTCGGACTATTTGTCCCAGGTAAACATACTCGTACCGGCAACTACCGGCTTAGGTGTGACATGGACATTAAACATGATCTTTGTTTTGTCCATGTTCATCTTAAGACCTATCTGTTGGGAAACACTATTGAGGTCATTGAGCATAGTGCTTAGGTCCTCCAGCGATCCTGCCATAAGGACTATATCGTCGGCAAATCGAAGGTGAGTTATGTACTCGCCATTGATGTTGATACCGTATCCTTTCCAGTCCAGAAGCTTGAAAACATCTTCCAATGCAGCGGTAAAGAGTTTCGGGGATATGACGTCACCCTGTCTTACACCTCTCTACAATTGGATAGGTTGTCTGGTGAACAAAAATCACAAAATATGGAGGTTAGGTTGTGGATGAGTTATTAAAAAATTTTATCAAATCAAACTTATCACGCCACATACTTGAAAAGTCAATTCAAAACGCCTGCCGAGCAGGTTAGCTTTTATATCCGTTTTTAAAGTATGTAAACCGTTGTGGTATAGTTTGAATCTAGGGCCACTATCTTCGTTGCACGTTTTTAAAAAAAAACAGTCGGTCCACCATCGGTCGGAAAGCCAGCGTATGGAGGTTGGTGATGCCTTAAGTGTTTCGTGTTTATAAATTCAGCACGAACTATATTGTTGTTAAACCGAGTTCTATGCTCGCGAAGGCATGTAAAAAAGCTAATTGTTAATATGTCAGCAGTATACTGTAAAAATACTGTGAAAGTGCACATTGCGTATTTTATATTATGTTTTATAATATTATTATTATTATTATTCTGATTCCATGATTAGTAGCATACTATTTAGATTCAAAATATAAAAAATGTTATATACAGTTAAAAAAATTGTTTCATTAAATGGCTAAATTCTTACATAAGTAAACACCAAATTATTCAATTTTATATTCCATTATACAGTATTTTAAAATTTTAGAGCAAAAATTCTGTTGTTTTATTTAAATCTGCGTTCAAAACATAATACTGTTGTTGACATGATATGATTACCATAACAGTATACATGTCGTGGGTAAAATTATGTAATGTTTAAATTGCGGATCCCGGATTTTGCAGAACAATGTGTGGTGCAATAATTATGTAGAGTCATCCTTTGAGAGGTTACAGTTGCACGAATAGTTCGTATTTCGGTCAACGTAATATACGACAAAATCCTTGATTAGAATTGTTTATTTCTACCATATTATTGTTGCGCTTTGCATTGTTTCATAGCATCAATCGCTTAAAAAGTTACAAACTACATTTTTTTATAAATCTGAAGTAACAAACGAGCTTACAGTTCACCTGATGGTAACTGGCTAGTGCAGTCTATGGACTCTAGCTAACTCCATAAATAGAATGCTACAGATGCCTTGTTGCCACTGTGGGTTACCTCCATTTAGTCTGTCCATAGATTCGTGGCCAGAGGAATTAAAGGCTTGTATAAAGCCCGTGGGGGCTATTTAAAGAAAACTGTTTTTGATCAATCGCTTAGACTTCGATTAATATGAATGCACAAATTTTATTATAATTACGCTGTTCCTTTAAAAAAATAAATGAATTTTAATATTTAACAAAACGTATACCGTACTAGGCATACATCTCACAGCTGGATACATGCCACCTTTAATTTTATAGCTTTTTTAATGGAGGTTGAGGGCGTCGGTGCGGCGGTCCCGCAATTCCTGGCTACGGCAGCAAATTTGGTAACGGCGGGGCACGATGGGAATGGCGACGATCTGTCCCCAGGTGTATTGTGAAGATTGGTAGATTAACTACAAGGGTTGCATAGTCGCAAGCAATTTATTTGTAGATAACGGACCTGGCTATACTATAAGAAATTTAAATACATTTCATTTATAAGTAACCTGTCAGTGTTATTGTTTAGTGTATTTTAAATTAAATAAAAAGAAAAATACAGAAAAGAGTGAGTTGAAAGTAGAGAAATTTGGAGTAGGGCAACGAAACTCAAGGGATCAACAGCTAGCCGACTTCATGCAGTTGAAGAACAAAAAGTTAGAAGATAAAGAGAAATTTAGAAGTTAGGCCAAAAAGAGATTTAACTCATTACGATAACCAGTCAGATACTGATGAGTTATGTCTCGGTGATCGCAAGGGTGAAAAGTGGTAACGGTAATCAAATGATGAGACGCACACCGAACCTTAGTTCACTTGGATGTTTGTCTTTATGCAATTTATGTATGAGTGCCTCCGCGATGCAAGATCCTAATGTGGTAACTTTTTTAAACTAATCAAAACATAACTAAACCTTAAATTTTAATTCAAGAGATCACGTCAAATGAAGTCAGCGTTCCGTCTCCCTCATCCTCGAATAGCGCGAAAAGTTTCACCTCGAATCACAAAATAATTTTTAGTGTACGTATAGTAAAATATATACATGACAATGTCGTGGAAACTGTCTTATAGACAGTGTCAGCACTACACTTAGGACACCTGAGATTATGAAAATATGGCGCTTATTGGTGTATAGCTAACCCGAGCAGATCAGCCCCCATGAGCAGCACCCGTTCACAAGTATGATGCATGTTGCTGCCAACGCCGTCCTTGACCATATTAAAAAAAATGGATGGGTCTCTGCTTGCAGTGACTAATCCACATACCCAAGCCTATCACACTCACTCACACTGATATGATGTGTCTCCCCACTTACACAGAAGTAAAACGGTTTACTGAACACAATTGTAGTTTCCTATGGGACCACTAAGAGTTGTCTCTTACAGAACTTTTAACGAGGTTAAATATCATACATATGCTTATTTATAATGAACTGTACCCCGCGACTTCGCCCGCGTGTGATTTAGGATTTTCATTTTTTTTGCGTGGTACCCTAATTCTTTTTCTAAAATAAAAGTAGCCTACGTTACTCCTTGTGACATCAGCTATCTGTCAGTGTTTAGGCCAAATCGTAACACTTAAAACTTGCAAAAATGCTCGTCTCGGGCGATAAACCTGTTTGAAGGCTTGGGCCGGCAGGCATTCGTTTTTGCACGCGACGGCCGTGTCGGTTAGATGTCGGGAAGTTACGTTAGAATCGGTAGCTCGCGTTAAGACTGCCTCCTTTTGCGTTGTCTTATTTCGTTCGTATACGTGATAACGAGGCTTTCCTTGAGTTTTGAGTGATTAATTTAACTTCGATTGCCATTAATCTGCGTCGACGAGTTGCTTGTGTGGTGTTTTAATATCGTACGAAGTAAGTTTTGCTTTGTCGGGTGGAACGCTAAAACTTTGTGACCCGGGAGGAGATCGCGTTCCTCTTCGATTATAGTTTTGTGCTAAGTGACGTTAGACTTGAGTTCGGATAACGGTGAACGCCCACTGGAGTGATTGCACATTGTGGAGCAGGGCAACGCATGTGTGTCTGCTGGCCGATTACTTCGGTGACGTCAGGTTATATTTACACACCCTCTTACACCACTACCACACCCACCTACTTGCCCTTGACGGTACCCTGTGGTCGACCCTACCTCCGGAACTCGGTAAGTTTGTGTTTGCTTATCCAGCCATTACATAATAATTATCCATAGGCCACTCGGGCCCGAACCCTCTGGTTGCCTGTCGAGTGGATCACTCATGGGCCCTGGTCCAGTCGA